TAATAGAGCATAGGCCACCGACCAGCATTCGCCAACCCACTTTGTCCTGGGTCTTCCTTTCCAGTTCTATCCAATTTTTGTTCATTCTCTTCATGTCTGTATCCGTTTCTCGGTGTAATGTGTTCTTTGCTCTTCCTCTCCTCCTTCGGCCTTGAGGATTCCGTGTGAGGGCTTGTCTTGCGACGAAGTTCGGTGCTTTCCTCAATGTGTGTCTTATCCACCTCCAGCGCTTCTTTCTGATTTCTTCCTCCACTGGGATCTGATTTGTTCTCTCTCATAATAGGTTGTTGCTGACAGTGTCTGGCCAACGGGTCCGAAGTATTTTGCGTAGACAACTGTTAATAAACACCTGTATCTTCTGGGTGATGGATTTCGTAGTTTTCCAGGTTTCCGCCCCATACAGTAGAACTGTCTTGACATTTGTATTGAAAATTCTAACTTTGGTGTTGGTTGCCGATTGCTTTGAGTTCCAGATGTTCTTCAGTTGTAAATATGCTGCTCTGCTTTGCCGATCCGCGCCTTCACATCTGCATCAGATCCACCGTGTTCATCAATGATGCAGCCCAAATATGTAAAGGTTTGTACATCTTCCAAATCTTCTCCGTCGATTGTGATTGGATTCGTGCATGTTGTGTTGAATCGGAGAATCTTGCTTTTCCCTTTGTGTATATTGAGACCTACTGCTGCTGAGGCTGCTGCTACACTGGTCATCTCCAACTGCATTTGTTGTTGCGTGTGCGATAGAAGAGCCAGATCATCTACGAAGTTTAGATCGTTCAGCTGCATCCTAGATGTCCACTGTATCCTATGCTTCCCTCCGGATGTTGACGTCTTCATGATCCAGTCGATCGTCAGGAGAAAGAGAAAGGGTGAGAGTAAGCAACCTTGCCTGACACCTGTCTTTATTTCGAACGACTTTGTCAACTGTCCTCCATGCACGATTTTGCAGTTTAATCCATCATAGGAATTCCGTATGACATTGACTATCTTCTGAGGCACGCCGTAGTGTTGAAGAAGCTTCCATATGGTTGTTCTGTCCACGCTGTCAAATGCTTTTTCTTAGTCAATGAAGTTGATATAGAGTGATGAATTCCATTCAATTGATTGTTCCACAATGATCCGTAGAGTTGCGATTTGGTCTGTGCACGATCTATCCTTACGGAATCCTGCCTGTTGGTCGCGAAGTTGTGCATCTACGGAGTCCTTCATCCTGTTTAACAATACCCTGTTGAAGACATTTCCTGTTATTGAGAGAAGAGTGATTCCCCTGTAGTTATCACAGTTGCTGAGACCACCTTTCTTTGGTATTTTGACTAGAAGTCCTTCTTTCCAGTCTTTTGGTGCCTGTTCCTCATCTCAAATCTTGCTGAAGAAAATGTGGAGTATCCTTGCAATTTCCGCTACGTCTGCTTTCAGTGCCTCTGCTGGAATGCTGTCTAGTCCTACTGCTTTGCCACTCTTGATTTGTCTGATAGCCATGCTGATTTCTTCAATTGTCGGTGCGCCAACATCAATTGGGAGGTCCGTGAGTGCTGCTTCGATGTTGGGTGGGTTCAGTGGGGCTGGTCGATTCAAGAGTTCTTTGAAGTGTTCTACCCACCTGTTTCGTTGTTCTTCAATGTTGGTGATTATCTTGCCTTCCTTGCTTTTCACTGGTCGTTCTGGTTTACGGTGATTTCCGGAGAGTTTCTTTGTTGTGTCATACAGTTGTCTCATGTTTCCTTCTCTGGCAGCCTTTTCCGCCGTCAATGCCAAATCTTCCACATGTTTACGTTTGTCAGTTCTGATGCTCCTTTTCACTTGCTTGTTTACTTCTGTGTATTCAGCCTGTGCCTTGACTTTTTCTGCTCTTGTTCGACTGGTATTGATTGCTGCTTTCTTGTTCCTCCTTTCTTGAATCTTATCCAGTGTATCGACCGTGATCCAATCCTTGTGATGGTGCTTCTTTTGGCCCAGAACCTCATGACATGTTGAAGTGATTGCTTCTTTTATCTCTTTCCAGTTGCTCTCCATAGTAGTTTCTTCTCCATTGAGTAGATCATGAAAGGCTTGGAACTTATTGCTGAGGGTTATCTTGAATTTATTGAGTTTGTCATTATCCCGAAGAAGAGCCGTATTAAATTTTTGTGATATTGTCCTCCCCGTTGTCCAGTGCCTCTTGAGTTTCAATTTCATCTTGGCGACCAGCAAGTGATGATCTGATGCTATATCAGCTCCTATCTTGGTCCTCAAACCTCCATCGTCCTCCTGAACTTTTTGTTGATGCAGATATGGTCGATTTGGTTCTGTGTGCTGTGATCCGATGAAGTCCATGTGATTTTGTATATGCGTTTGTGTGGGAATATAGTCGCCTATGACCAGTTTATTGAAGGCACATAGGTTTGCAAATCTCTCACCATTTTCGTTTCTTTCTCCCAGTCCGTGTCGTCCCATGATGTCTTCATATCCGGTGTTGTTTATTCCAACCTTGGCATTTAGATCTCCCATCAGAAAGGTCAGGTGCTTTGTTGGACACTTCTCGACGATTGACTACAGCCTATCGTAGAATTGATCTTTAGCGTCTTCATTGTAGTCGTTGGAAGGCCCACAGCATTGGATGACGTTCATAGTAATGCCTTCTTTCTTTGTTTTGAAGGAGGCTTTGATGATCCTTGGTCCATGAGATTCCCATCCTGTAAGTGCATTTTGTGCTTGTTTGAATAGCATCAATGCTACTCCTTGTGTATCTGGGGCATTTTTTTCTTCATGTCCGGAGTATAACAGCAGCTCCCATGAAGCTTGTCTTTGTTGTTCAACTCGCGTCCAATGTGTTTCACTGATCCCAAGCACCTCTAAATTGTATCTCCTCATTTTTGCAGCAATTTGGCAAACTCTCCCAGTCTCCCACATTGTGCGAGCATTCCATGTACCTAAATCAATGGTTGCTCTGGTTGTCAGAAGGGGCATCGGCCTCGTGACTTCCGAAGGAACTCGGCTTTCATCATGAGGCGTCATAACTCTTCTAAATGAAGACCTTCTGACTGCCAGGGCAGAATTTAAATGATTTGAATATTTTTTCCTGGTTGGTGCTTTTTTAACGAGTTAGTATTCTACGGGATTGGGTCGCTAACCCCATGCCCAGGCCTTCTTCTTTATCCGGGCTTTGGACCGGCAGTATCCCCCGGAGGGACTTCAGGCGGAGCTAAATGATCATCTTACTGTATTATATTGTAATTCATGTTAATTAATTAGTAATAACTATATCACCCATTTTTTTAAAAAAACAACATTGATGTTTTTAATGGCTTCATAAGAATTTTGATTCATGCATTAAATTCGAATCGATTAATGCGCATATGTACATTATTTCATAAATAAATAATTTTGAAATTATTGCATAAGTCAAGAAACAATGAGAATGAAGTTATAGATTATCTATGGTTATATGTAATTCGTTTAAAATGATATATTTATTTATTCTATCAAGATATATATATATATATATATATATATATATATATATATATATATATATATATATACTAAACAAGATATTTTAACCTTTTTAAGATAGGTTAAGATTTTAAATGTTTACAACATCAGTAAATCTTACAATAAGCAAAAGGATGTCCGTTCCTGTAAGAATTTTACTTTATGTAAGTTTATTTATTTTATTTTTGTGTACCTACTTATTTGTTTTGATGTATACAAAGAATGGGGAAAACTCGTTGTAATATATTTTATGCTAAGGATTTCGTATTATAATAAACATATTATACAGAATCAAAAAATTCATAATTAATGGATTGTACTTATATCAGTAAATAATATCTTTATTTGAAAGTTTACATATGGAGCTTCAGTATTAAAACTCATATAACTGTAATTACTGTTTGATGATTAGAATATATTACACATATGCTTTTTTTTGAAATTAAATAACTTTTTTATCAGGATAAAGTTGTTCTAAAAGAACAAAGAATTGTAGACATATTGCTTGATAGGAAGTAGTCAGTAACATTTATTATGGCTAAGTTTTAAATTTACCTCTCATTAAATGTCAAATAAATGTCCTACATTTAAAAAAGCACAGATGTAATTTATTCTAATTATCAAACAATAATTACAGTTATATGAGTTTTAATACTAAAGCTCCGTACGTAAAATTTCAAATAAAGATATTATTTACTGAAAATAGTATAATCCATTAATTATTAAACGTTCGATTACGCATTCTATGTTTGTTATTTCTTAACTAACTGAAGTCACATATTCATATTAACATGAGCTGTAATGTAAGCATATCTTAACTGTCGATGTATTAACTATTAAATTTCATTGTTTTATGTATGAAGATAAAATTCATTTTTTGTTGACATCCATCTCAGATAACTTCTAGGGTTACTGCTGGTCCTAATCCAAGACAAAGATGGAGAGTTGAGTGTGGGGTTAACGAACCCATCCCGTAAAAACCAACGTTGATAAGTAAATGCTCAACACTTATTATTTTTAGATGAGTTTGAAGAGAAAAATTATCTTATAGAATTGAAAATTTTTAATTTCGCCCCTTGTTAACCACATTTAAAAGTTTCTAAATGGGAAGAAAACAAAGCGAATAATACAGCAGGTTGTGTAAAAAAGTTCTTAATAATACTCAAAGTAATTTGCTGAAGATACTATGCTTGTTCATTACACAAAAAATCACGCAACTATCGAGTTTTTATATTTTATTCTGACGGTACATTTACATAACCCGATGAATCGCCGGAAAGCAACAAATATCAAAGCAATTCGAGCCCTAATTTGGTACTACTCAGCTTCTTTTTTAACCTGTGTTACATATACTTCTTGATGAGTACAATATCCTTATACTGCTAATCCAGTGGTTCGTTTATTTTTTATTCATCACGACTCCCATTTGATGCCATTATTAAATATTTCACTCACGATTCATATTCATTAAAGCACATCATTCAAAATATTTTGGATTTTTAAGTGACTTTTAATGTAAAATGGAAGTATTAATCATCATCATCATCATCATCATCATCATCATCATCATCATCATCATCATCATCATCATCATCATCATCATCATCATCATCATCATCATCATCATCATCATCATCATCATCATCATCATCATCATCATCATCATCATCATCATCATCATCATCTAGTATCTAGTACTTGTTTAAATGACGATGAAAGTGACTGATTACATCGATTTGGTTAAATTTTAGTTTATTTTAACGTAGCATTGTCATCGGTCATGTACCAGGGATAATATTACATGATTCATAAGAACGAACATATATTACGTATGCTTCCTATAAAACAATATTTTACCATAATTTTATTGAATATTTCTTTAATAACTTTTCATCAGTACGGCACAAAACGCTTCATTATGAAATCTAATAGGTTTCCCTATGAGTACATCTAAATGATCTTTAAACAAAGGTGAAAACAAATTATATTCTACGTTATATATAGTAACTGTATAACTGTTTATTGTATAGATTTAAAAATACATTATTCTATTTTATCTTTTTTTCTCTAATCACATTAACTGACTTAATTTGTAGTATAAATTACATTATTTCACTACATCTATTAACATTTACAACATGTGTATAAATTAGAAAGTGCATAGAGCACATGAATGTGCAAATGTTTCATACTTAACACTTCTATATATTTATATGAACATTTAACTGGAGTCATTATGAACATTACCAATATCCTTATAATATATATATCTTTATACCATTCTAAATAACTAAGAATTTCCGGAATATATTGTTAAATCATCTGACTATTTTTATCCATATAGAAATCCTCTTTTTCATTGTCATGTGTTTAAAAATCCTATTTCTCGGTAAAGAGTTGTTGTAAATATGAAAATAGTAAAACAAAAATTAATACATTGACCGGAATAGAAACAATTTAACAACAACAACAATAGCAACAAAAATTTCTGATATTAAATAGTTTGTTGTAAACTATATACTAACTAATCTGATGAGAAAAATATTTTTTAGAATATTTCATTTTAAAATGGTTAACTTCAAAAAAATCAAAACAAAATAAGCAAACTGAATAGTTTTTAAATAAGAACTTTTGTCTAAATTTGATCGAATAGTTTCACAGTATTTGAACGCTGAGTTAATTTGAAACACTAAAGAGGATGAATGTATTTGTAAAATCTCATCGAATGAATTCTGAATAGTTTCTCTTTCTTTTTGTAATAAATTGCATTTTAAACAAAACTACACATTCTGTTAAAAATTTATCGCTATTGAATAAATAAATAAATAATTAAACTGTACTATTTTATCTCATTCGAAAGGTGAAGGGTTTAAATGATAAATATTGAAATAATTTATATGCTGACTCATGTAAATATTACACATATTAGTTCATATTAATGTTACACTAGTTTATAAGTTATTTATATATTACTTATTATAACAACCTTATAAGGTTTAAAAACAATTATAATAATCGTTTTATTTATTATGATATATTTCTATGTAATAGGGAAATGTCAGCAGTAATAGTGTAATGTATTACTAATGTTTTGAAGAAATTGAAAAAAATATATATAACAATATGTACTTTAACAGAAGTAGTTCTTTTCTGATTTTCTTTAACGGTAGGAGTTCTTGGCATTTTTATTACCTACTACATATATACTGGATAACATCATGTGAAACTTTTGTATATTTGAGCTGCATTTTGTAAGTAGATTAGTAAAGAAAAAACATATTAACAACTATTTTGTTTTCTCTTCATCTTTGTGGTTTCTATCATGAAGATAGACTATATAATTCTTCAAAATAATTGTGAGTAAATGATTTTGATAACGGAAATGGACTACTGTAATAATTAAACTATTGAGTAATAGATTTTCTAAAGAATTTATTCACGATGTGTAGTTTCACTGAAAGGTATATCATATGTACTATGTTGTATGTCACTGAGTTATTTATGCTTTGTTTAACACTACAATTATGTCATAAAAGAGGGATCTAGGTTTTGTGTTATCGCTTCTTAAAGTAACAAAATTAGTTTGACAATTTAATGAATCACAGTGCTTTACTGAATTCCAAGCATCAAAACTTAGTTGTAACTAGGATAATGTAGAGAGAATATTGATAAATTCATTTGAAAGCATAAAAGACCAAATAAAGCATTTCTTATATATTTATTGTATTTACGCGGCTACCTATTGTAATACATACAGATTACACAGGTAAAAATACTTTTTAAAAATTATTGAGGGCCGAATGGTTATAAGTTCAGAATTTGGACTGTAAGTTCAGTCAACTTTGAGGTAGACACGTTCTTATATACAAATTATAAATAATGCGTTAGTACTGAAATGAAAACCTAAAATGAGATTTAGATCAACTGATTTATTGGTCGGTAATATGTAATTAGGAGATAAAGGAGACAATGTCGATTTGTAATCTTATCTATTTTTAGAAACATAGCCATGAAACTGAGATGCTAAAAAATGGAATGGGTGTCAAATTAGTGCTCCCATGTATGGAAATAAAAAGCAATGTAATAAGAAATGGCTTGATGAGATACTGAAAACGGTTGAACGATGCTTGCCCTGCTGAAGTTTTGAACTCAATGGGCTATGATTACCGCAAACCACATCTTTACTTATATTTTCTGAAAAAGATTTTTGGAGATGGAATTCGAACATGAAGCATTCTCAGGAAATGGAACCAATTACTCGAAAAATAGCACCAACGGAATCAGTACATAAAATGGGAAATTTCTACTTAGGTAATTGGCTTATTAGTTTCGGTAGCACCATTGAAAGCGCGGAAAGCACTAGTTATAGTTTTATGATACGATAAGTCACTAAGATTATTTTGTATAATTTATGGATTAACATGTCAGTTTATGTTTCGTTTTCAAATCTTACCGACTTCATAATTACAGTTCGAAAATAATTTTGGACGTGATAAATTCCAATAGCTGAGATCATGAGTCAATCAAAGCTAGACCACCATGGAAAACCTGGAAGTACTGGACGATCGTTTCTTTCTGTTGTGGGGCTCCTCAGCGGTGCTCATCTACGATCCCGCCTTGCGGGATTCGGACCTGAGACCTATCAGTCTTGCGACAGGCGCTTAACCAACTAGACCACTGAGCCGTCATCCAATGGTGTTAATGTCAAACTTTAACTAATCCACAAAATTGAGCGACACATCCACCATCGTCATCAGTGAGTTACTATGGTGGTCTAGCTTAATCTCAACTATTGAAATTACTACATTTTACACAAAACCTCTTCTGATACTAATAATAAATTTGTTTATGAACATTCTGGGATATCTGTTTTCCTTAAAAACATTGTCTTTTTCATAAAAGTTAATTAAGCCAATTCGAATGTAAGTCTATTCCTTAAAGTGATTGATTAAAATATTGTATATCTTAGATATGGTGAACTTTTATTGTCATTATAACAATATTAGAATTTTGTTATAAATTTTGTTCTAATTTCATTTATCAAAATTATTGAGGTTAATTAAATAAACAACCCAACATATCTTCATTCATTGAACCAATTAATCTCTCATTATCCTTCGTTATTTTCTGTATACTGAAAGCGGGAAAGCAAACAATTAATATACTTTGAAATGTGTGTTATAATAAATAAACATTGATTTTAAAACATTTTTATGATTATTCTATTATAACTAGATCCATTTATAATCTTTTGTTTTACATAAAGTTTTTTAAAATAAAATTCATAATGAACATTTGTGTTGTTCTTTGTAAAGTTTATTTCATATATTTCTCAACACCTTTCATATAACAGATGGCATCATTTTATTCCAAGAGGTGAAAGGCCTCAAGAGGTACTAGCATAAAAATAAATCTCTGTAGACCGTCTAAGCAAGATTCAAGAAAAGAATAACGGTAAATAAACATCCAGTTTTATAATATCCTTTGAGTATAAAAGAGTTGTTTTTCGAAATGCTAAGTTCTATATATAAGAATCCAAGAGGTGTTATTTCTTGTAATTTATTTTCATACAACTTTTAGAATGCTGACTTCAGTCAGGTGATTGTAAACCATATTCAGAGGAATAATTAACTAAACACCCATAAAGTGGATAATGAGGATTAGTTTGATACAATGATTCATTGGTCATTCTATACAATACCTAAATATACATTTGTTAATTGAACAGTATTTCCTCGGTGATAGGGATTATAATTAGTTAACAAAAATAAAATAATCACTAGGATCCAACTTCATACTCTTCACAAAATTTCCAGTAAACAACTCGGAAAATATTTATGCAGTTATTTTTTTAAAATAACAGGTGAAAACTTCATTTGGGATGGTAATGACATTGTACATTGATTTTCAGTATAGTATATTGGATTACTTTTTGGTAGTTTCAGTTTTAGCCTTACGACAGGCATAATTCCACTGCAAACTACGCCATTTTAATCAATAATAACTTGTATATATTTGGTTTTATGTATACTTGCATTCATAAATTTATTTGTTGAAGCTTACATGTGACTAACTTATGATAAGCCTCTCAGCAGTTTGAGATACAGTTGTAATCAAAGCAATTTATTTATAGTTTGCACATTTACGTTTTAAGTGTTAGTTGGAAAACCAATTTAATACAAGGAACTGTACATTTACTGGCTACTCCTTTGGGATTACAGCTATCCATAGAATATACATTAATTTATGAAGTGGATATTTTTATAAACACTAGGAACATTAACACCTTCAGCAGGTTGGACTATAAAAATGTTGTGTGATAATGGTGACTTTTGTGTTTTAGTTAATGCTAATCCGTAATTATAATAATGTTGTCTACAAAATTCTTAAACCAACAGAGAGTCTTATTATCTATCAAATAAGATGCAACTTATGTATGTATGTTTTTAAATTAGCTTCCAATTAGTATTATCATTACTTGTTACCTTTATATTGTACCTGGCAAATTTCTTCAGACCAATTTACTATCAGTATAATTTTACTGATTTTCCCCAATGTCATTAACTTTTTAATGATGATACAAGAATACTTCATGTCAATCAGTCTCTCTGATTCACTTAGTAAAAGTTATCAGTATAGGGGGATCGTGGAGGTTATTGAATGTTTTCGACATAACGAACTGACTTAAGTTAGGCATCCACGTGAAATCAGGAGGCAGTGCGTAGATGCTTTGTTCTAGTATAGAAATCTCCAGTAGTGTGCATTCATAATTTTTATGGGGATCGGACTCAGGACCTTTGATTTCTTGGCGAGCACTTCACCTCTAGATCAACAAGTCATCCAATTATGTCAGAGCGAAAATCTGACTTTTGCAACAGGTTTTGTTAACCGAAATTCGATTACTAAAAAGTAGAATAGGCGTAGAAGTTTTAAATGTTAGAAGTCATTTAAATAATGAATGTTAATGATAACTGATCGTCTTCACCATTTGTTATATTTCAGTCTTAGGTAAACAAACCACGATTATATCAAAATAAACTATTGCTTACAAGTTGATAAGCAGTTAGCATAGAATATAGGAACAGTTCTTGTCAATTACTGAACTATAAAAAATTGTTTAGTCACAGAGTTGACAAATGTGTGCACCAACCCATTGGGATCATAAAGCTATAAAGCTTTTAATGGAGATATTTCAAAATACACAGACAGTTTTTATAATTGAATACAAATTTTAGTTCGATATTACCTAAGACTAGACGACCAACTTCTCGACCAACAGGCAGGATTCTGTAGGGATAGATAGTGTACAGACCAAATCGCAACTCTACGGATCATTGTGGAACAATCAATTGAATGGAATTCATCACTCTATATCAACTTCATTGACTAAGAAAAAGCATTTGACAGCGTGGACAGAACAACCATATGGAAGCTTCTTCAACACTACGGCGTGCCTCAGAAGATAGTCAATGTCATACGGAATTCCTATGATGGATTAAACTGCAAAATCGTGCATGGAGGACAGTTGACAAAGTCGTTCGAAATAAAGACAGGTGTCAGGCAAGGTTGCTTACTCTCACCCTTTCTCTTTCTCCTGACGATCGACTGGATCATGAAGACGTCAACATCCGGAGGGAAGCATAGGATACAGTGGACATCTAGGATGCAGCTGGACGATCTAAACTTCGTAGATGATCTGGCTCTTCTATCGCACACGCAACAACAAATGCAGTTGGAGATGACCAGTGTAGCAGCAGCCTCAGCAGCAGTAGGTCTCAATATACACAAAGGGAAAAGCAAGATTCTCCGATTCAACACAACATGCACGAATCCAATCACAATCGACGGAGAAGATTTGGAAGATGTACAAACCTTTACATATTTGGGCTGCATCATTGATGAACACGGTGGATCTGATGCAGATGTGAAGGCGCGGATCGGCAAAGCAGAGCAGCATATTTACAACTGAAGAACATCTGGAACTCAAAGCAATCGGCAACCAACACCAAAGTTAGAATTTTCAATACAAATGTCAAGACAGTTCTACTGTATGGGGCGGAAACCTGGAAAACTACGAAATCCATCACCCAGAAGATACAGGTGTTTATTAACAGTTGTCTACGCAAAATACTTCGGACCCGTTGGCCAGACACTGTCAGCAACAACCTATTATGAGAGAGAAC